CGTCCCATGGGCGGCCCGGAGCGAGCCCGGTCCAGACCATTGACAATGTGAATATTCACATTGACATATTAACATTCACATTGATAGGAGTATAAAATTGGCCCGTGGCCCGTGGGCCGCCCGAAGCCCGCCCGCTGCCCAAGGCGAGCCCAGTCCGGCTCGTTGACAATGTGAATATTCACATTGACATATTAACATTAACATTGATAAGAGTGTAAAATTAGTCCGTGACCCGTGGGCAGCCCGAAGCACGGCCCCGGGCCGACGCGGGCCCGGCCCGTTGACAATGTGAATATTTACATTGACATGTTAACATTCACATTGATAAGAGTGTAACATTAGCTCGTGCCCCGTGGCTGCCCGAAACACGCCCACGGCCCGTGGGCGGCCCGAGGCGGGCCCAGCCCGGCCTGTTGACAGTGTGAATATTCACATTGACATGTTAACATTCACATTGATAAGAGTGTAAAATTGACTCGTGTCCCATGGGCGGCCCAAAGTCCGTGGGCGGCCCGGGTTTGGGTCTGGGCCTACCCCGGGCCGCAGGCGAGCTTCGAGCAGCGGACAAGTTTTACACTCCTATCAATGTTAATGTTAACATGTCAATGTGAATATTCTCATTTATTTGATTTATTTTTTGTGTTTCTGTTAGGTTTTGCTCTTTAAAAGAAGCAGCCTCAGCAGCTTATGCACAAGTTTGTGCACCATACCATACATGGGCAGTCAGGACAGCAGTTTATGCTGGAATGTGTGCTCTCCCAACGTGGGAACAACTGCTGCTGAAGCTAAATGAAAATGGTGAGATTGTGATCCCTTTATAGGCAGAAGTGATATGGTTTTGTGTCATAATTTGACCTGGACCATTGTTAAAGTTTTGAATTAAATTCCACAAATTAGGCCCTTTACTAGTACCGAAGCCGAAGTAAATGAGCACACCAAAACATGTTAACAGTATTAATAATGAGTTTCGAGCCGCCCACGGGTCAATTTACATTCCTACAAATGTGAATTTTAAAATATGAATGTTCACATCATTAAATTGCTAATCGTTGAAAAAATATTTATAAGGGTATCAAAATTAAATATAAGGGCATAAGTGTCCAAGAAAATAGTGTAAATCAAGAAAATTAACTTTATGGAATAAAACTATACATACATGGACTAAATGGGTTAAAAAATTTCTTCATGAATTTCTTGGGTTAAAACACTTCTAAATTGGACTTATCAATAAAAATCCCAAAAATAAAATAATTATAATTTAGATGTGACATTTTATCCTATTTAATTAAAATAATTAATTTTGTCCTATATAACTATTTTAGCCCAAATCAACATGCCAAACAATCATTTTACATTATAAGATTTAGTACATAGCAATGGAGAAGAAAACTAGGTACGAGAATACCTCCTTTTTTTTAAAAAAAAAAATATTAAATAATGACTTTGGGCATATCTCGACAAATTAAACCTTGGACAATAAAAAAAAAAACTTTGGAAATATTTGTAATTACTCACAAGTCATAAATACTGATTAAACTAAAAAAAAAAATTATTTATTTATTTTTTGTGGAAAGTATTTTTTTTTTTTTTTTGGTTAAATAGGAGAGGTGCCTGTAGATCTCTAAGCTATCAGATTTTTTCAAGAAGGGATGCAAGGGAACAAGAAAATAATTTTTTGTTTACTAATTAATGTTTCTTCAATTTTTACAGTTGATTGCTTGGCTTTATTTTCTTTTTATTTAAAAAAAAAAAGTATTTGTGTTGGGATCCCATGTGATAATATATATGGTTGATTTATATATGTATTCAGGTTATGATAGTAGAATGCGAAATTTATTAGAAAAGTTAATATGTACAAGATTTGGTTATCTAATTATATAAGAATAAAATTTGGTATAAGTAGAATATTATAAATAGCCATAGAGGCTATAGAGTTTTTCGAAGATAGAGAGCACAATCGGAAAAAACAGAGATGTAAAGGGTGACATAAAAATACCGTGAGGTATCAAGATGAGCAAAGGCTCAACTACCATTGAACATAGGATTTGTATAGTGATGTGAATTTTTGGTATTTTGGTTGTATTTTCTATTTTATTTATAGCGATGTCTTGTGTCAATTTGATTGAAATGTGCTTATTTAATGTGTTTAATTTCAAAAACTATTTTAATATTTATTTATAATTGTGCACTTATATGGTTTGACTTTAAAAAAACACCTACATATATAATCGTGGACTTAGGCCCGGACATAGATTTGCCATTACAAAAGTATTTTGAAAAAAAAAATTCGTTGAAAAATATTTTTTCCCTATTGAAACAAACAGAGTGTAACCACGGGACTAAAAAGTTGCATGATTCTTGCCTAAGTTACATTATTTGGTTTAGTTTGCATAACTTACTTTTTGAAAAAATTAAGAAATTTGACTCACAAAAATAAACATTACAAAAGATATTTCCAACTTTTCAAAAAATATTTCCATCCCAAAAAGAGAGAATCATAATGCTAATATGCCTGTATGTAAATCAACCTTAAATAATCATGAAAAAAAAAAAGAATAGTAGATTTGTTATGAATTTTGCCTATATAACTCGTACCCTTCATCTCATTTCCCTTTCATCTTATAAAACAACAAATGGAGCAGAACACTATGCTTTTGCAGCCACTAAGTTGTTCCTTCCTCATTTTCTGTTACATCCTCTTTTACATGAACTCTGTTCCCACTTTTGGTTTCACAAATGAGACAGACATGCAAGCTTTGCTAGCATCAGGAATGGAATACAAGAAGATCCTTTCAAGGTCTTTAGCTCATGGAACAATTCTCATCATTTCTGTAAATGGCAAGGAGTTACTTGCAGTCGAAGGCGTCACCAGAGAGTGAGTGCTCTAACACTATGTTTGGATTGAGTGATTTGGAGAGAAAAGAAAAGAAATGGAGTGATACGTATTTCTCTTATTTGTTTGGATAATCTAAGTGGAGAGAAATGGAAAGAAATGGAGAGAAACTCATTTCTCTTATAAGGCTCATTTTCAATCTTCCTAAAAGTGGAGAGATTGGGAGAGAAAAGAAACCACTATTTTTAGAATACCAATTTTGTCCCTATAAAAATAAAAGAAATAAAATGATTGAAAATATAAAAAGGTTATTTTGGTAATATAACATAAAATAATTTCTTTTCTTTTCTCTTAATGAAATCTAACCAAAGAAGAATGCGAGAAATCACAATCATTTCTTTTCTTTTCTCTTCTCTTATTACTTAAGTAATCATTTCTTTTCTTTTCTCTCCTAGGTTCCCAAACATAGTGTAAACCTTTCATCACTTAAATTATCAGGTTCCTTGTCTCCTCACATAGGAAACCTTACCTTCCTTCGAGTGATCGATCTCGTGGACAACAATTTCCATGGAGTGATTCCACAAGCAGTTGGTCGATTGTTCAGAATTCGGTCACTTTATCTTGGAAACAACTCTTTCAAGGGAGAATTTCCTGTTGATGTGACACATTGTTCAGACCTTAGAGTCATTAATTTAATCAAGAACAATCTCAGTAAGGTTCCTATTCAGCTCGGTTCTCTGCCCAAGCTTGAATATTTAGTCCTAACTCAGAATCACTTTATTGGGACAATCCCACCTGCACTTGGGAACCTCTCGGCTCTACGTTGGCTTTTCTGTCAACCAACAATTTACAAGGCCAAATTCCAATTCAACTTGGAAAGCTCTCAAACTTAGAAGTGCTTCAGTTGTCTGAAAACAAGCTGACTGGTACGATTCCTTCTGTTCTTTTCAACATTTCAACAATCCATTATCTATCTCTAGCCTTAAACGAATTCCATGGAAGCTTGCCCCCTAATCTAGGCCTTGCTTTTCTGAAACTTGAAACAATTTTTATGGGAGCAAACCGGTTCTCTAGGACCATTCCTGGCTCGCTGGCCAATGTTTCAGGTCTTATACAGATTGATCTTGCTCAAAATTCTTTCACTGGGGGCATACCACAGAACTTGGGTAATCTTCAACAACTTGAATTTTTACAGTTAGGGGGTAATTCGCTTGGGGCTGAGAAACCGAATGACTTGCACTTTCTCACCTCCTTAGCTAACTGCACCAATCTTAGATGGTTGGTTCTGTACGAGAATCAACTTGGAGGTGTGTTGCCCACTTCGATTGGTAATCTCTCCACCAAGCTCGTAGTACTGAATTTGGATCAGAACTACATATCAGGAAACATACCTGTGTCAATTGGGAACCTTGTCCACTTGGAGCTGCTTTTATCATATGAAAACCAGCTCACTAGCAGCATTCCCGATTCCCTAGGAAAACTTATTGAAAAAATCTAGAAATCCCCTAGATGTTGATTTGTGATTATGTATCAATTTTAAGCAGAATATAACAATCCCAATCAAACAATCAAGACAAATCGACACAACGATTTTACGTGGAAAAACCACAATTGGACACCTCCAACTGTGATTAAAAAACCACGGGCAACAGCCACAAAATAATACACTAAGAAGATTTAAAGGAATTACACAGGTATACTCTCAATTACCTAGCGAATCCACACCCAAATTGAACCAACCTCTATGTGCCTCTTCCAACCCCGTCTTCACTTCGGAATTGTCTTTACGATGAGCCACTCCAGAATCCACCAAAGCGTCAGGCTCGAATTCTTCAGAATCCATCGAAGAACAACTTTCTCTTTTGTGTAGAACAAACAAAACCTTTGATGTATTCTTTTTAAACCATGAGTTGAATACTCAATAAAACATCAAAGAAAACTAAAATATCCCCAGATATAAACCTTAATATCCAAAAAGAAGATCTTGAGGAATTAATTTAGTTTTGGGAGAAAACCAACTACTTATAGAAAACCAAAGTAATCCTAGTTTTGGAAGAAAACCAACTTCTTATAGAAATCCAAAGTAAACCTAGTTTTGGAAGAAAACCCACTTCTTACAGAAATCCTTGTCAAACAGGATTGCCAAGAATTAAACCTAACACTTATCATGTTGCAAGAGCTCTATTTGTACAGAAACAAAATCTCAGGGAAGATTCCAACTTCTTTTGGTAACATGTCAAAACTTAGCCTTCTTTCGTTGTATCACAATATTCTAGAGGGAAGTATACCTGGGTCTTTGGGTAACTGCATAAATCTACAAGGACTGGATCTATCATATAATCGCTTTACTGGTACAATACCAGAACAAATTGTTGCACTTCCTTCGCTCACTATAGGTTTTTTTTTTACAATATAATTTCTTAACAGGACCACTACCATCAAAAGTGGGTAGTATGAAAAATCTTGGGCTATTTGATGTTTCAGAAAACCAACTCTCAGGAAACATTCCAAGCACTCTTGGTGATTGTCTAGTGTTGGAATTTCTTTACATGGAGGGTAACCATTTTGAAGGTACTATTCCACCATCTTTCAAACAATTAAGAGGCATTCAAGAACTAGGTCTTTCAAATAATAATTTTCCTGGCAAGATTCCGAGTTTTCTAGGTGATTTTTCTTTGATTCAATATCTCAACCTTTCCTATAATAAGTTTGAGGGTGAAGTTCCAAGTAAAGGAGTGTTTAGCAATATTAGTGCATTCTCAATTGGGGGAAATAACAAGCTTTGTGGAGGAAATAAAGCGTTGCAATTGCCTGCATGTCCCACAAAAAGTCCAAATAAACAGGGAAAGCATTTCTCTAATAGAGTACTAATTATTGCAATCAGTGTTCCTGTCTGTATCATTTTGTTGCTAGCTTGCATTTGTGCAACTCTGTATTGGAATAGAAGGCGGAAAGAGAGAACAACTTCAACCTCGTCTCTTGGGAACCAGTATCCTAATATTTCTTATGCAGAACTTCTTCAAGCAACTGAAGGATTCTCCTCAAGAAATTTGATCGGTGAGGGAAGCTACGGTTCTGTGTACAAAGGGATTCTCAATTGTGATGTTGCAAGAGCAATTGCAGTCAAGGTACTCAATCTTCAAGTACGGGGAGCCAGCAAGAGTTTCTTGGCAGAATGTGAAGCATTGAAGAACATCCGACATCGAAATCTTGTTAAGGTAGTCACTGCTTGCTCAAGCATAGACTTCAAAGGCAATGAGTTCAAGGCTTTGGTCTTTGAATACATATCCAATGGGAGTCTTGAGAGCTGGCTACATTCGTCAAGATCATCGAACAATGAGGACTCCAGGAACTTGAACCTTGTTCAAAGGCTTAATATTGCAGTTGATGCAGCCTCTGCATTGGATTATCTTCACAACCACTGTGAAACACCTATCATTCACTGTGACTTGAAACTGAGCAATGTTCTTCTTGACGATGATCTCTTAGCCGTGTAAGCGATTTTGGTTTGGCAAGAATTTGTCTGACCAAGACCAGTGCATCCACTCATACACAAAGCAGTACTTCAAGTGGAATTAGAGGAACAATTGGATATATGGCTCCAGGTAATTTTTTAAATTGTATAGTTCTTTTGTTAAAGTTCTCATTCTGAATTGTGTTTTACACTAAAAGGATCAGTATGTGTATCTCAAACTATGTGAATTCAGTTACATTATTTGAACCTCATATTTGGAAAAGGTGTTGGAAAATAATCAATGTGATTGGTTTCAGTTTTTTTAATTCAGTTTTTTTGAAAATTGAGTTTTTTGTTTTTTGTATATATATATATATTATTTGTTTTTAGTGAACATTTTTTAAATTTTAAGCAATTTGTTTACTTTTTTAGATGCACCTTATTTAGATGTATCTAAATAGTAAAATATTTGCAAAAAAAAAATATTTTAAAAAATTAATAAATACACAAAATTAAGAAAAATGAACTGAATTTTCATTTTTTTTGGTATTTTTTGGTATTTAGTGTATTTTTAAAAGATTTTTTTCACAAACATTATACTTTTTAAGTGTATTTATGTTAGGTGTGTCTAAAATTTTTTTAAAAAAATCTTAAAATATTAAAAAATTCATTGAAAACATTAAAATACTAAAAATAAAAAAGTAGAATTTTCTCAAAACTATTTTCTAAAAACTAGAACCAAACAAGCTTATTGGTTTTTCAGCAACTTTAATTCAAAATTAAAGTGGGACTCAACCGCTAGTTTAGATGGGTCTACGGGGTTTTGTATTCTCTCAAATGAGAAGATTACAATATAAAAATAATGGGCCGAAACCATTGAGTTGTGAATGAGAATTGCCTTGTAAAGTAGGCATCAATAAAGTTGGACTTAGATTTAGACTTAATCTTGATTTGGACTGGGCCTAGGTTTGTGCTTGTGCATGTGATGGGTTTTGTCTTTGTCTTGGACTTGGACTTAATCCTGGTTTGGACTAAGCCTAGACTTGTGCTTGTACATGTGCTGAGTTTGGTCCTGGACTTGGAGTTAATCTTGAGCTTGGGCTAAGCTATGTTGTGTTGGGCTTAGCTTGTGCATATGTTTGAGAATTGGGCTTGGATTGGGTTGTGACCCAACATTAGTATCCATTTTGTGACCCATATAGTTAGTTTATTCAAATATCATTATATACATATTTATTTGTATATATTAAGAACATGAGAAATGTAAAGTTTTGTAACTCTCATCTTTTGATGATGGAGTTGATGACCATATTAGTGGCTATAAGTTTTCAACCTTTGTAACTCTAGTCCAAATGACTAGAGTTGATGGCCTTGGTTAATGGCATTTGATGGCCCTATTGATGCATAGCCTTAATGGTTAAGGATTCTCCTACTTGTATAAATAGAGGTCTTTTCCCTTTAACTTGAGAGAATAATTTTGGAGAGATTTTTGCTGGAAAATGGAGATGGTGTTTTGAGATATAAAATTGGTGATGGTTTTGTACACCAAAGAAAATTTTTCTTATCTTTTTTTGCTAGCTCATTCTTTGGTTCTTGTTAGAAAGAGTGCATCTATCGTCAAGTTTGCCGAAGCTATTCAGAAGCTACTTTTGCATTAGCTGGTTTCAACTGTCATATCGCTAGCATACCTCCAGCATCCATCGAGAGGTGGTGAATCTGTTTTCGGGAAACTGTCTAGTGCAGGCTTCAATTTGCTTCTTTTTTTTATCATTTTTTCTTAAATTTTTCAATATGTAGTTTACAAAGATGAGTTCGGATCTTTAGTTATCCATGTTAATAATTTGTTCTATTAGTAATGTTATCTAATTCATTTTTGTATTTTTAGTTGTGTCGTTTATTCTGTATTTCATTCTTTAAAAAAAAATTGTTTTGTCATTTCTATTTAATTTATTTTATATATTTTTCTCGTATTATTATGAAAAAATACCAACAAAAGACTCTATTTTACATAACCTGATTAATCAGCTTTCAACTGCAACTGAAATTGAATTGAATATACTAAATTTTCATGTGATGTCAAAAGCTTTTTGATCTGTCAAAATACTGATCTTAAAATATTCTGGAAGTCTAGCCCCTTCGGTAATTTCGATCCTCTCTATTACATGTCTCTATTATATCATCTAACAATAAGTGTAATGATCTTTCCATAATCATAAATTTACATTTCTATTTCATAACCATTAGATACGTAATGGAAATTTTCCATCGCATAGCATCAAAGTCCGGTATTGTTATTTGTTTATTAAGTGTTCTATGTTTTCATTTTCTAAGAAACACATAAAAAAATATTTTGGCAAACTGTTCTTGGAAATTTTTCTCAAAAACAACCACCTTTTTTGACAACACCAAAAAGGTTATTTTCAAATTTTTAAAAAACTCTAATGCACAAAAATTAAAAATATGATATGAAAATGAAGAAAACAAAAATAATATCAAACTGTTGTGATTGTTTCTATTTGCAGAATATGCTGTAGGTGGGGAAGCATCATTAAAAGGTGATATGTACAGTTATGGGATTGTTTTACTAGAGATGTTTACGAGGAAAGGACCAACAGACAACATGTATACAGACAATTTTAACCTCCATAACAATGTTAAGATGGCTGCTGCTGAGCAGGTGATGGCAATTGTTGATCCTTCACTGATATCAAAAGGGCCAGAGCCAAATGAATCAAATAGGACTAGCGGAAGCAGTAGAGGCAATATTGTCAAGACAGTGAAGTGCTTGGGATGTATTCTTCAAATTCGAGTTATGTGTTCTGTAGATTTACCAAGTGAAAGAATCAATATTAGTGATGCTTTCATGGAATTGCAAGTGATTAGAGATGTTTATCTCGGAAAAAGAGAGATGAAATAAACAAAGATGACAAGATCATCATTGTATTTTTCTGCTTTAGTTTGTGTCATTCCATTCATCTCATTTTGTGAGAAAATTCTGAGATACTTGTACAACATGGTTGTAAAATTGTTACTTGTTTGATGCAATTTATTGTGGTTACTTATAGCCTATTTTATTTTGAAAATTTGTGTTAGTGTGTTTGTTGCAACTTCTGTTATAGCTGATGATCAACTTTTGAAATCCAAAAAGTTTGCACCAAATAATTGGTTACAGCTCTGTGATCTTGGTTACATTAATTGAAAGCAGAAAGCAGAAGCGAGAAGCAGCAGCTGCAACAAATAATTGGAATTGATTGGAACAGATGATGAAAAAAATCTTAACAAATATGAAACACTGGAAATGTTGTTTGGTTAACTGAAATGTATAAATAAATTAAGATGGAGCCAAACATTCGTCATCCATATATCTATAATGTTAGGATTTTCTAAAGGGGCTGCCTCCCTTTCTTTTTCTTCTAACTGATTATTTACTGTCATAATTTTTTTTTTTTATAAGATTTAGGATTCTAGAGTGACTCTGCATAATAATTGATGATCACCAACTCGTATCACATTGCATTAGTTGCATTAAGTTAATGATAAATTGCTCTGTAGGAGTAGATGCAAGAAACATTATTGGGTGAAAGCCTCCGCTCGAACAGTGAAACTTAAAAGAAATTTCATATTCAGTAAAATTTTGGGGGTGAAATTGAAAATGACAAAGAGAGGGTAGTTGGAATTTGAGTTAGGATTTGGGTTTTGGGTTTTGGGTTTTAGTCTTAAAACTGGATAGAATTTTGAAAGTAATTAAAAAAAAAATTAGAAACATTAGGAGAGAATACCAAGCTAGGAAGGATGGTGGGCGTTGTAGGACGTGATGGTGGGACCTAAAAGGGGATAAACTAGAAATATTTAAGAATAGAATGGATAAGGCAGGTATTTTGGACTTAGAATATGATGCTAACACTATGTAGAACTCGATGGCCAATTGTATGAGGAAAATCTTAAGGGAAGTGCTTGGAGAGTCGAAAGGAACGGGACCTAGCTCTAGGAAAACTTGGTGGTGGAGGGAAGAGGTTCAAGTGATAGTTAAAGAAAAAAAAAGAAGTGCTTTAAAAAGTGGCAGAAGAATAGAACTGAGGAAAACCTTAAAAGCTTTAGATTGGCTAATAAGGAGGTCAAGAAAGTAGTGAGAGAGGCTAAGTTGAAAGGTTATGATGACCTATACACTATACTAGATAGTAAAGAGAGAGAGAAGAGGGTATACAAACTTGCTACGATACGGGAGATGAAAATAATAGATTTTAATCAAGTTAAGTGCATCAAGAGTGAGAATTATAAGGTATTGGTGAAGGATGAAGAGATTAAGGAAAGATAAAAGAAGTATTTTGAGAAACTATTAAATGAGGAACATAGAAGTACGGCAATAGGGGAAGAAATAGCTAGTAATACGATAAACCAAGACTATAGGTTCTATCGCAGGATTAGAAACTTTGAAGTAGAGATTGCACTTAAGAAGATGAAATCAAATAAGGCTTTGGGACCCGATGATATCCCTATTGAAGCTTGGAAGTGTTTGGGTAAAAAGAGGGTTGCTTGGTTGGCTAAGTTGTTTAGCAAAATTTTGTTGACTACGAACATGCAAGATGAGTGGAGAAAGAGTATTTTAGTGCTAATCTATAAGAATAAAGAAGATTTCCAGAATTGCAACAACTATAGAGGAATCAAGCTAATGTATCATATAATGAAAGTGTGGGAAAGGGTGATGGAACATCGATTGCGAGATATAACAAAAGTGTCAGAGAATCAATTTGGGTTTATGCCTGGCAGGTCAACAATGGAAGCAATCTATCTTTTGAGGAGAGTAATAAAAAAGTATAGAGAAAAGAAAAGAGACATTCATATGGTGCTTATCGACCTTGAGAAAGCATATGATAGAGCGTCTTGGGATTTAATATGGTGGGTGTTAGAGAAGAAAGAGGTGACAAAGGGTTACATTGATGTGATTAGGGACATGTATGAAGGAGTGGCGACCGCTATTAGATCGCCTGCTAGAGAGACAAATAAATTTTCTATCACTGTAGGGTTACACCAAGGATCTACCTT